AAAGTCTGAGTTCGGGCTCGAACTTGACCCCGAACTTGACCCCGAATCCCATTGAAGTTAATGGGGACCTGAACTTTTGGCCACAAAAATGGCTCTAAAAAACTCCTGGAAAGGGCTAGAGGGCTGCAAAAGGAAGTAAAATGGGGGTAAGAGTAGGACAAGTGCCCTGCAAACAAATGTGGATAGGAAAATCACTTAAAAATAACATAAAATAAGCAGCCGCTTAGTAGATAACTCCCTAATTCACACGGTATTAGGGAGCTATCTACCAAAAGGCTGAAAACCTAAATTGGACACCTAAATTGGTATTTCAGACACATTTACTAATACTAAGTAAAGATTACTTAGTATTAGTAAATTCAGCCCCTATTCGCTATACTGCGAGTAGGGGCGTGTCTAGCCAGTGGCTGCTCACTGTAAAAAAAAAACAAATAAAAAACTATTGCCCCCACCCCTGTGTGACGGGTGGGGGCCCTAAATAAGAATGTGGAGGGGGGACCTACTTTCCTCCCCCTCCCAGCCCCCACCCCTGCGCAGTGGGTGGGGGCCATAAATAAGAATTTGGGTGGGGACCTACTGTCCTCCCACTGGCCCCCACCCCTGAGCGGTGGGTGGGGGCCATAAATAAAAAATTGGGGGGGCAACCTAGTGTCCTCCCCCCGGCCCCCACCCCTGAGTGGCAGGTGGGGGCCCTAAATAACAATAGGGGGGACCTAATGTCCTCCCCCCTGGCCCCCACCCCTGAGCGGTGGGTGGGGGCCATAAATAAAAATTGGGGGGAGGGGCCAAATGGCTTCCGCCATGGTCCCCACCCCTGCGCGGCGGGTGGGGGCCCTAAATAACAATAAGGGGGGGACCTACTGTCCTCCCCCCTGGCCCCCACTCCTGAGTGGTGGGTGGGGCCATAAATAAAAATCCCCTGCCAGGTGACTAGGGGTCCCCAAACCCCTAGGCACCCCCTTCCCCCCAAAAAATTACCCCTACCTACCCCCCTCATCCTAAAAATAATGAGGGGGACCCTTGTCTAAATACCTGTAAAATAAAATAGACTTAACATTTGATGTCGTCTTTCTTCTAAAATCTTCTTTTTTCAGCCTCAAAAAAGGCCAAATAAAAATCCAGAATAACCGACGCACTTTGTGCAAAAAAAAAAAAAAATCCTTTTTCACCCATGGAGGGCTCCGCGCAGACTGAGCTCTACAGGGCGGGGCAAGGCTTATAAAGCCTTGCCCCGCCCTGCAATTAGGCTCAGATCACTCTGATTGGTAAGTCTCTACATTTACCTGTCACAGCACTCTGATTGGTTGGCTTGAAATCCACCAATCACAGTGCTCTGTGTCATTTTACACAGCGTGGGAAAGCTCTTTGGAATTTTTCCACGCTGTGTAAAATGACACAGAGCACAGGAGGGTTTTTTTTTTTAAACAGTGAGCAGCCTGTTTAATAGACACGCCCCTGTTCGCGATATAGCGAGTAGGGGCATAATTTACCAATACTAAGTGACCAGCTTCTATAGCGGCTGGGTCACATGCTGCACTGGCCAATCACAGCCATGCCATTAGTAGGCATGACTGTGATGGCTTCTAAGGATACACAAGTCAAACGCTTGTTGATTTGCTGCCCTGTAGCCTTTCAAAATGCGTCATTAAATCTCCGAACTCGGAACTCCAACCCGAACATATAGTGATATGTCCGTTTTTGGGTCCGGGGTCCAAAAAACGTCATGTTCGGTACGAACAAGAACTTTTCAGTTCGGGTTCACTCAACTCTACTCAAATGTATGTTTTTACATATTTTCCAGGGTACTCAAAAATGAAAAAAATATATATAAAAAAATACAACATCTTTGATTGTCATAAACAGATGGCGATATTTATTAAATGTTCATGCACTACGTACAGATCCAAATGACCCTGGCTCAAAAAAAAAAAAAAAGCAACCAATATATATTAAAGGGACACTATAGGAACCTAGACCACTTCATCTTGTCGAAGGGTCTGGGTGCAGTGTCCCTGTCAATTTAACCATGCAATGGTAATTATTGTAGTTATTGATAAACTGTAATAATTACCTTGCAGGGTAAACTCCACCTCTAGTGACTGCCTACCAGACAGCCACTAGAGGTGCTTCCGGGGGGTGAGGTGACGTTGGACGTCCTCACGCTTTGGAACAATGCTTTCCTAATAACAGCACGGCACTCAGCGCACATGCGCATTAGGTCACCCCGCCAGCTGACATCGGGGGAGGAGGAGTATCCTCTATACACATAATTTTACGCTATCACTAATAATGGCTGCCACTACAGATGCCAACAGATACGAACTACTCGCATACCGGCGGTTTGCTGGTAAAGCATAGAAATACTCACCTGAGCCTGCGTGGAAAATTGTGAAAAGAGAGCCTCTACATCAGGCCTGTCCAACCTGCAGACCCCCAGATGTTGCTGAACTACAACTCCCATGATTCTTTCAATGAAACAGATAGCCAGGGAATCATGGGAGTTGCAGTTCAGCAAAAACTGGGGGGCCACAGGATGGACAGCCCTGCTCTACAGCCACGGGATATGATTGCAGGCCATATTTGGACAGATATTTGATAACAAAATTCTCATCATTTCAGTGGCAGCACAGACAATTGTCTTTTGTTGCTCTACTAGTAATACTTTATTGCAAAATCAAACATTTATTTTTACCATGTATATAAAATAATAAAATAGTAATAATAATACCTACTTTTCTAAGGTAAGGTTTATTAATCTTTCCTTAGAAAGTTATGATAAGTCCAGGATTGGCTGAAGCCACTCATCCTTACCTCACATGGTGTTGTTGGCAACGAAGAAGGCTCCAAGGCTACATATTTAGAGCTGATAAGGGTCTTGCTCATATTTCATTAATGCATTATCTCTTTAATACATTAAAAACTGTGTAGAAAAGTGGTAAAACTAGCCATGAAGTGGATTTAATATGTATTACCTGGTAAAAAGGCAAAGCCTTTGGGTAGAGTCACTGAGTAGCATTAAAATTCATACATAAATTCTCAATAGTGTTAAAAAGAAGATACGTATTAATGAGAGTTTTAATGGACCACCTAGAATAGAGCTGCACATGTATCTATAATGACCGTTACGCAAGCAAGCCATAAGTTGGTGATTTTTATAATGTAAAAATGAAAATCCAGCGCACTCCCTTATCTACTAAACAGCTACTTTGGTGCTGACCGATATTGTTAGTTTTATTAAAAACACCTAATCTAGGCAAAAATATAATGAGGGTTTAGTTACATTATATGATCATACATTGCATAAGCCTGCCACAATGTCAATGTACCCCGTCATTTTTACTGTACTTATTGACTCCCAGTAGCACCCCATTTGAGAATGTTCAGGTGAGTGCAGCCAACCCCTTGTGATTTTTTAAAAAATGTGTTGGTTGATAAAATGGGAGAGAATTATCAGAGCGTTTTGAAATGTGTCTTATACTTTTGGTCTCTCTTTGCATTTCTAAAATTTTCTTAAACAATAAAAGTCAAAGCATTTTTGCTTTTCTGCCATTTTGCACTGATTTATGAATTTCATAAAACAAAAACAAAAAAAACACCATATCAAATCTAGAGTGGAGAAAAAAAAAGTGAAACAGAACACATATTTATCAGAAAAAAAATCATTACTAAATCCATTGTGTGGCCTTAAAAAAATGGTGTAAATTAAAAAATGATGGTTAGGTCACAAAAGTAGGAATGGGGAAAAATGCAAGTTTAATAAAGTGCCCCAAAGTGCTAAAAAAGCAAAAATCTGTCTGTGATGCTTTGATAAATCTCCCCTAATATGTTCCATGGAAATTTTACAGCTTCTTCCCCCAGTTTAATTAGAATATATACTGCAATAGGGTGTAAACGCTCTCCATGTCTAGAAAAACCACATTTATAGGAATAAAATCTTACTGACTGTCGGAAAATCTTATTTCGCTCGTTTGTTGCTGTGGTTTAAACAAACTGCTTCTGAATAAACATGCTCGATACTCCCTCCCCTTAGCAATCCCCAAACCTTCAGGACTGAGTGTGTTTGGGAGAGAGGCGGAGGTCAGGTAATGGCTCCTTCGATCAATACCCATGAACTGACTCTTGTGATTGTTCTGTCAGCTTCAAGGCTCTTTGTGATCTGCGTTCAATAAACACATTAACCGTGAATAATGTTTCGGCACAAATTGGAAAGAAACACCCGAAAATAGGACTGAGATTAATATATATTTATACAGCTCTCAGGTAGTCTCCTGGGGCATGCATACCACCCTCATGGCTCGTTCCCCATGGCTCGTGTTTTGGGGCAACTTCTTTTTATTTCGTTTATAATCGAGCAATGAATACAAATCCCAGTCTTAGAAATTCCTCCGTACAAACTGCTCAAACAGCTGCACTTCTTTAAGTAACAAATACATAAAAATCCAACATTTCAGCAAACTGGAGAAATCTTACAGTAGGTTCTTCTTGGCTTCTGTTCAGACTGATTAGATGTTTTTGGGATGGCTACTTAAGATTGCCCAAGACAAATGATAGCTTCATTGCCAGTTAAAGTTATGTTATGACATGGCGATGTACAGAAGGGCAGACTGTACATGTTTATTCTACAATCTGTTTGTGTATTATTTCATCCAGTAGTGCCAAAGGCTACCTGCGATCACATCTAATCCTAGAAAAATAAAGCATTTGTTTAGTGCACATCGGCAAACAGCGCTTTAAGCGCACTCATAGCTTTCTGTCCATGTGCCACTTACATGAAAAATATCTTAATAACCAAATCTGAGCTGCCATCGTTCCAGTTAATTTCAGATGAATTTATGTCCTCGTGGGTGAAAGCAGATACACCAATGTGTGTTTTAACGTCATAGGGTATTTTTTTTAATTTTAATTATATACATATATATATATATATATAGATGTAAAAAACAGATACAATTCTTATCTTGTAATACCTTTTTTATTGGACTAACCGAATTTTTTAATGACAAGCTTTCGGGAGAACCTCCCTTTCTCAAGTCTGAAAGGTTTCGAGTCCTCAGACTTGAGAAAGGGAGGTTCTCCTGAAAGCTTGTCATTAAAAAATTCGGTTAGTCCAATAAAAAAGGTATTACAAGATAAGAATTTTATCTGTTTTTTACATCTACATAACTGGACTAATACGGCTACAATCTCTACTTGAACATATATATATATTTATTTTTGTTGTTGCATGTGAGACACAGTTAAATGAACTTTCTAATTAGAAAATAAACAATATTTTTTATTAGATTGTTTTTTGATAATTTTAGATTATGAAAGAAGGAGTTTTGTGGCACTATGTTACCTTCAGGGGTTAAACAGTTTTGCAATGGTTTAGCACCTTCATTAGGGCATTGGTACCCGACATCTCCCTCCCTCCCCCAGCATTCTTCCTCTCTTGGAAGGCCGGTGATTGGATTAGAGCTTCCCAGTGAAAGAAACTTGACCGGTGTATAGTCACCATATGGGCAGTCGGAACCTTGGACAAACCCCCACATACCTTTCCCAAGAAAACACGAACACTAGGGTATATGGGTCAAAATTGTCCACAGCTTTTATTAAGTAATTAATAATAATACTAACTTAACATAGAAAAAACACGGGTCATTGCCCCCTACCCCACCCTCACATCCGTATCCTTCTGTTAAATATAAAAGGCAATGATGCCAATATAAATAACATATATATATATATATATATATATATATATAACATACTTCCAATATTATTCCAACATGAACATAACTTAAGGTGCCAAACATAAATTAACCATGGCAGGGGTATATCCGGATACCCCTACCCCACCAGGTTCTGAGCCACTTACAGGACTCGAAACCTTTCAACTTACCAATAACCACAGTTTGCCATTTCCATAATCTTCCTAATGGGGAGCCTATTTCCTCTCCTTCTGCTCCCTATTCCGCCGCTGTGAAAAAACGGACAATCTACTTAAAACCAAAAACCCAGGGAGGGTGGGTGGGACAAACTCAGCCAGGTAGGTAATGAAAAGGGACTCTTTCCAAGATGGCTGCCTATTTAAATGGCCAAACCCCTTACTCACAAAACACCAATCCCTGCTTGCTTCCTCCTAAGCCCGCCTCCTAACCCCTGTCAAGGCCCTTTTCCGCTAACCTGCGCTTTTGATAAATGGGGCTACAGTATGTGCAGCAGGGAATACAATTCTAAAGTAAAAAATAAAAAAAGCTTTGATTTTCTTTTAAAATAACGTAAACCTTTGCTAACTTTTGCCGTACTCTCGGGTGTCATGGTACCAATTTAAATGTCCAATGGCAAATTTTAAGGTAGGTAATTTCTATTTAAAGGGACAGTAATTCAGTTGAGTATACATAAAAACCAAAACAAAGAAATTTAAAAGTAAAAGTGAAATTTGCAAATATTTAGTTTTCTTTTACTAAGATTTAAGCATTTTACAGCTGAGTGTGAGGTGAAATTTGTGTACAGTCATCTGTAGAGTTTCTGGTCACTAACCCTGACTTTAATTCGGGTTCTATTTTGATTGAATGAATACTGCCAGCAGCAGTTATAATACACCTTTTACTTCAAACGGGTCACTTAGTTTACATTTTTTTTCTTGTGGCTGTTTTTCTCTGAAAAGTAGAGTTTCTTTCACCAACACAATGCATAACTGGTAACAGCAGTAACTTGTTTCAGTATGATCTTTAACATGAAAAGCCATTTACTTTAATTTATTCATTCTGACCTTTTGAGGCGAACCAATCTATATTGGGAGCGATCATTCTATGGGATCGGAGGATCTACCTTGTAATGATTTTCAAAGTAGGGGAAGATGCCCCCTGGGGTTAGGGCACGACAGCCTAGTACCCTGGATCTAAGTGAGGATCTAAACCGTATCAGACTGTAACACTTTATGTATTGGACCATTAGAGAATAGCTTACTCCACCAGGACAGTGGAATGAATTCTAATTTTTATTTCTTGTCCGTGATATCTAGTCCTTGTCTCTTTAACTGCTGTCAGTGGAGACTCTCATGATTCTCAGCCATTTAAAAATGTAGCCGAATATTATGGGATGTTTTACACAGCATTTCAGACAGATTTTTTTTATTTTTTAGCGCAATACCTTTACCCATGGGTGTTTAATACCAGTGCACCCTGCTCCCATAATGCTGGGGAACCTTAATTTCAATAGTTTAATTTAATGTCTCCATGCCTCGGTTGCACTTTAGAAGACTTTCGGTCTTTACTCTCTGCCCCTTCTCTTTTATTCTAAAATGGCCCAAAATCTCAAGTTGAGGTCTCGATGAGAGCCAGTGTCAACTTAAAGAAGATTCCCTCATGTACCATCAAATAATTCAAAGAGTGTCACGGCCTCCGGCTCGCCGCCATGTGCGTCCGTAACTGACCGGCACGACCGCACCAACTCACTGAGCTTACCTGCTCAGTGGCGAGCCGGGAACTGTTCCTCCACGCCGCTCAGGGAAATCCAAGATAGCGCCGACCATGAGGTCGCATCCATCCATGGCTCCACCCCCCAAAAGTATAAGAATGTGCGCGTGACGTCACGATGTCAATGCACGCGCACGTTCTGGGGTCAGAGGTCACCCTCTGACCAATCAGAGCCTAGAGAGGGATATTTAAATCCCTAATTCACCCCAGTACCTTGCCCTGTCGTGGTTTCCTGTTCCTGGTTCCCTAGAGTGCGTTTATCTTTGTGAATATTACTTCCTGTTATCCTGATCTTGGCTTTTCCCTGGTTATTCCGAATTCTGGTTCCCCTGACTTGGCTTGTTTAAACGGTATCTGAGTATTTCTGGCTTCCTTGACCTCGGCTTTCCCTTTGACCATTCTCTATCTCTAGCGTATTAGTCCGGCCATTCTAAGGTCCGGTTTACGCTCTGTCCTTTTATTTCCTTTCCTTTTGTATGTATATGTTTACATAGTTTCTGCATGTTGGACCACACTAGCAGTGGTCCACACTGCATGTTGGACCACACTAGCATGTTGGACCACACTAGTGACAAAGAGTTTATGAAGGCAGAGCTGATTGTATGTAGGTATATGTACAACAGTTTACGTTGATAAATGAGGAATGGGGGAATTATTTTTCATTTATATGTATAAATGATGGGGATCAGTTTGCATACCCTCCATCCTGCATGTGCATGGGGGTGTTTTCTGTCAGGAATGGAGTTGAACCTAAATGTACAGACTATAGCACAACAAATAGACTAACCATGTGTACTGATCCTTAGAGTGAGCCAAGGTCAAAGGAGTACAGAGATCAGGAGAAACGAATGAGCTGACAAAATCAGACACCAGGAAGATGATACACAATTAATGAGCTCTTGAGCTACTAGAACCACAAAAGTGGCAAAATGAAGTGGGAGAGGTAAGTATAAATAGGCAGAGCTTAATTTAGATTTGTCCATGTCATAAGTGAATTCCCTATGAATCATGGATGGCAGAAATCCTTATTAGAAAAACTAACTTATTGTTAACTTCAGGGCCGTCTATAATATGATTAGGACCCTGGGCAATGCATTTTCTTGGGCCCCATGGGCCCTGTCCCTGCCACTGCCTCACCCCCCAATTACGTCCAACCCGCAATCACACTGACAGACGTACTGGCACATACACACACAGACAGACATTAAAACATTCACAGATACATACTGACAACAAAGTCACTACACACAAATATATACTGGCAGACATACTGACACACACACAGACATACATACATGCACACAGACACATACATTAACAGATATACTGACACACACACAAACACATACACTGACAGATATACTAAAACACATAGACACATACACTGACAGACACATTGACACACACACACAGGCATACTGACATATACACACAGGCATACTGACATATACACAGACAGATGTAATGGCTGATACAGACAGACATTAAACATTCACAGATATATACTGACACACACATACACTGACATACAAATATATCCTGGCAGACATACTGACACACACACACACACAGACATACATACACACACAGACACATACACTGACAGACATACTGACTGACACACACATACACACACATACTTACATACACACACAGACATACTGACACACAAAGACATGCTGACACACACACACAGACATACTGACATACACACAGACAGACTGGCACATACACACAGACAGACATTAAAACATTCACAGATACATACTGACACACACATACACTGACACACAAATATATCCTGGCAGACCTACTGACACACACGTACACACACACACACAGAGACATACCTACATACACACACACAGACATACTGGCATACACACAGACATACTGACGCACACACACACTGACACACACACAGACATACTGGCATACACACAGACATACTGACACACACACACTGACATACACACACAGACATACTGGCATACACACAGACATACCGACACACACACACACAGACCTACTGGCATACACACACAGAC